CTTTCTCAGGCCTTGTGACATTTCTCTTCCAGGTGGTGCCATTGCTGACAGCATGAAATGGGAAGGGATTTTCTTTGTTAAGTAACGCCCTTTATAATCAACTGTCTTCTGGACACCTGTTTAATGAATTATTAGACTCACCTGTAGTTGATTTCTTCTTAATTAGGATTTTGTTGTCTAAAATTTAGCTGTGCTCCTAAGACTTTCATTGGGGTGTATTCATTTTTGAAACATGGTCTTGAATGAATTTGTTAGGAAAAATACTTTTTTTGTGTGTGCAAATTAACAAATCTTGTTTGCAATCAATGGCCCGCATTTGTGGGAATATTTTGTAGTATAGTGTCTCATAGAAAATGTTGATTCTGAAAGGAAAGTAAAGGTTTTCTGACAAAACTGTTGGGGTGTACTCATTTATGATGAGCACTGTATATGCAGACCAAAATATAAACACAGCTGTGCTGAGAGCGCACACCCTGTGCACTCCAGGCAGTTACCGGTGGCTACCGCAAAGCCACCATTTGCTACTTACAATCAGGAGCTTTCTGATCCTGTGACCACTGTGACAGCCAGTCATGGCGGTCACATGATCATAAACCCTGCCCTGCCTCCTGACATCTGAAACCCCCTTAAAGGGCTGGGAGGCGCCAGCCCCAAGAGGTTAATAGGACTAGGGTAGAACAAAATGATTGTGTGATTGTGCCGCTTCACCTGCAGGTTTAAGGCATCTCCAAAGCAAATATTTAAAGGAACTGTGTATTTTAATGCTGCCCTTGATGCCTTATAAATCTTTTCATTGCCAGAGCCATTTTTTCATTTTTGCACACATTAAAATACACATTTTTGTCCTGAAGTTCACTTAACCACTTGCCTACCGGGCACTTTTATTCCCTTCCTGCTTAGGCTAATTTTCACCTTTCAGCTCTGTTGCACTTTAAATGAAAATTGTGCGGTCATGCAACACTGTACCCATATGACATTTTTAGCATTTTTTTTCACACAAAGATATATTTCTTTTGGTGTTTTTTAATTACCACTAGGTTTTTTATTTTTTTTTGCGCTATAAATGAAAAAGACCAAATTTTTGAAAAAAAAATGCGTTTTTCTTTGTTTCTGTTATAACATTTTGCAAATAAATCTTTCTACACAAATTTAGGCCAAAATGTATTCTGTCTTTGGTGAAAATAACCCAAATCAGTGTTTCTTATTTAGTTGGTAGGAAAGTTATAGAGTCCACAAACTATGCTATATATATAAAAATTTATAAATCCAGATATACTGACAGCTGATCTCATTTCTTGAAGCCCAAAAATACCAGGGCGGTACAAATACCCCTAAAATGATCACTTTTCAGAAAGTAGACAGTCTGAGGTATAGCGAGGTTTTTGAAGTTGTAATTTTTTCGTCATAATTTTGTGTAAATTGAAGAAATGAGAATTATTTTTCACAATTTTTTTTTTCATTTTTTTTATATACTGTCACCAATGCAGTACTGCGTCATCATATAACTGGCCTGGTGGTGATCAGGGACACTGACTGGAGACAGTATGTAAACAAAAAAAAAAAAAAAAAAAAATTAAAAAAAAAATTATTTTTTGAAAAATGTTTTATTTCATTTTTTTTTTTTAATTTTTACAATTTGTTTCTACTCCTGAGACCAGAGCAATATATTGTTACCATAGTAACATTGTACTACTTTGGGCAAGTGATCAGGATTTTTATTTATTTATTTTTTATGACTGCTTATACTAACAAATTACGTTGGTATAAGCAAGCATTTTTACTGATTAATTCAGTAGTTTTTGTTGTGATCAGCTGTGATTGGCCATAGGTGATCACAATCTACAGATGGGCTGTGATTGGCCCAGTTTGTACATGTGATCATTGTGACAAATCACAGCTCACAGCACAATTGTAAGCAGTGAATGGTATGTAAGGAAACCATTTGTTGTGTACAACTGTCATGTGATCACAGCAATCACATGACACTGGCAGTGGGCTGGTGCAGTGATCTATCATTGACCGTGTCCTGTGGTGACAGATCATGCTGGAGCGCAGCCCTGGGAGGATGTCATGTGATGTCCTCCCAGGATAACAGGGTTCCTGCTCAGCCGTCATTGTACAATAGGCTGGGAGGGAAGGAGTTAACCATAGATACGCTTTAATGAAGCTCTGTATTCGATAAATGTATTCAATCAATGCTGTTAGTCTAAGTATCTGGATACAGCTCTGTATTCATTAAGTGCAGTTAGTCAAAGTACCTCGATTTGAATTTGTATCCACAATCTTCAGTACAGCCCAGATTAGACTGGGGGGGGGGGGGGGGGGTGTGGATAGAGAAATGACACCACTGTATTTCTCAAAGTAAATGTACTTCTTTTAAAAGAAAAAAATGCCCAGTGTCCTGTACATACAGAGCTGTGTGCTTCCCGTCCATAGCAAGCCTGTACCTACCTACCCTATCTGACGTTGTCTGCAGCCCATATAATGCTGTGCTGTCTGCACACTCATGTCCCATTACTAAAATTGGGTGTTACTGCCTCATACAGGTACATCCCATTCAAGTCTAGGGCATGTCAGTGCGCAGGCTTCTCAGCACTAGATTTTTACTGTCAGGCTGCAGAAAGTGCGGTAGGTCACAGCCATCAGAGTAGGTAAGTATGGACCTGTGGTGGAGGGCACAGAGCTGTAGATTAAGGGGGCTAAGGTATTTTTTTTGTTAAAGATGAAATGTACTTTAGGGCAGGCCTCAAAATTTCCACTTGCCTACTTGCATTTGGTGAGTGGAAATAATGTGGGGGCGAGGGTATTCTAGACAGGGTCGCCTGTAGGAATAAGATAGGTATCCCATGAAGATTGGTATCTCTGCAGCTACTGCGCAACTGCCGGATCAGTGAAGCATTCAGGGAAAGCTAGCTGAGCTGGAGCCGAGGATTTCCCTGAAAGCAGTTAACTCCTTCAATGTCGGGCAACAGGGACGATCCCCGTAAACACACGGGGGGATAGAGGATTTTCTGGTCATTGTGAAAGCTGATATCTGTCCTCTTCATTTATATTACTGATCCTGGGGGACACATGGGTGAGGGGGATAGAGGATTTCATGGCCATTCTGCATGAGGAGAGCAGAAGCTAAGTGGCTGCACGGACTTAACCCCTCAATTGCCAGACACCTTTGTCATGAACTACTTGTAATACTTAAAGCACTAATTAAAGCGGAGTTCCACCCAAAAGGGGATGTTCCATTTTAATGCTTTGTACCCCGCTTCCCATTAAGGATTGGCACCTTTGGGGAGCTGTCACAGCCTAGTGCCCACACTAAAGATGCCGGTACCAGGGAGAGAAGATGGTCGGTGAAACCAGCCATGGTGAGGACACCGCTGGACCAAGGGACAGGTAAGTGGCTGTATTTTAAAAGTCATCAGCTACAGATTTTGTAACTGCTGGCTTTTTTTTTCAGCTGGAACTTTGCTTTAACTTACAAGGGAGAGGAGACAGAATGGGGATCTGTCAGTGGGGTGAGGGGGAGGTAGTTGGGGGTCTGTCAGTGGGCAGAGGGGTCGGTAATTGGGGGGTAGGGGGGTCTGTCAGTGGGGGGAGGGGACAGTAAGTGGGGGGGAGGGGGTCTATCATTGGGGGATGGGGGCTGTAGTTGGGGTTTTCTCATTGAGGGGAGGGGGCGTTAATTGGGGTTGGGATCTGTCAGTGGGGGGAGGAGGACTGTAATTGGGGGTTGGGGTCTGTCATTGGGGAAGTGGAGGAGGACATGGGATGGAGGAGATAGTACTGGAGGAGGAGATGTGATGAAGGAGATGGGACTGGAGGAGGAAGATAGGAGAGATGAGACTGGAAGAGGAGGACATTGGATGGGGCAGATGAGACTGGAAGGGGAGTACATCGAATGGGGGAGATGAGACTGGAAGAGGAGCACATCGAATGGGGGAGATGAAACTGGAAGAGGAGCACATCGAATGGGGAGATGAGACTGGAAGAGGAGCACATTGAATGGGGGAGATGAGACTGGAAGAGGAAGACATGGGATGCGGGAGATGGGACTGGAGAAGGAGGAGGATGTGGGAGATGGGACTGGAGAAGGAGGAGGATGTGGGAGATGGGACTGGAGAAGGAGGAGGATGTGGGAGATGGGACTGGAGAAGGAGGAGGATGTGGGAGATGGGACTGGAGAAGGAGTACATGAAATAGGGGGGATGGAACTGGAGAAGGAGGATGACATGGAATGGGGGAGATGGGACTGGAGAAGGTGGAGGACATGGGATGGAGATGTTTACATTGCTTTATGTTAATATTGTTAAAGTTGTTGTTGTTAATATTTATTTTTGTAGAGGTTGGGTGGAGCAACTGGTGGCGAGTAACTCTTAAGGCTTGGCTAGTAGCTCAGGACTTGAAATTTTGAGCCCTGCTTTGGGGTCTGTTCTTGCCTATTGTTGCAAATGCTTTTGCCAGCAAACTGCAGTTCCATTCATTTTCAGTGGCACACCAACGCACTAAGTAAACACATCTGCATTACAGTAAACAGTAAAGCACTAGCGTGTGTTGTGGTACACCGTGCTGACAAAAACTGTGTTGTATGATTTTTCAGCTTGGTTTGGTGGCAGTCCATTTAAATGAATGGCATGTCTTAACACATTACATGTTAAAGTGGGCCTATACACACCATGTCCCCAGCTATGCGGTGACCTGGAGCTCCCTACCCAGCCACTGACATAGCTAGGAAGCTGCTAACATAGCAAGCAGCCGGCTTCTTGGTCTCGATCCCCAACTGCTGTCATTGGCCAGGCAAAGATGATGTCACTCCCACACATACACAGGAGTTCAATCAGATTCAGTAATGTTGAATTTGTACATTGCTCACTGTATAAGAGTGGTGAGGCAGGTAAGTAACTTTATCCTGCCCATTCGCCCATTTTTTATTTTAAGCATTAAGTTTCACTTTAATGTGTAGTTTAACATGTGATAATTCACTGTGTTGGACCAGATAGGTGTGAATGGCCCCTTACTGTAGCGGTGAAGTGGTGTCATCTACTTGGCTGTGCTGTGAACCCTATGGCAGGTAAAACACGTTTTTCATATATTTTTTTCATCTGTGTTGTGTTGTTGTTTTTTCAGCTGTTTGCCTGGAGTTCAGCTTTATCCCCCACAGCTATCTCCTCCTGTGCCACCATCCCCTCCCTCCTAGATTGTAAGCTCGAAAGAGCAGGGCCCTCGATCCCCTCATGTTTTGCATTGTATTGGTATTATTGCTCTGTCACATGTTCTGTTCCCCTCTGTAATGTACAGCGCTGAGCGAACTATTGGCGCTTTATAAATACTGTATAATAATAATAATAATATTCTCTTCCCGTTCAGCCCATTGCCAATAAACGGCCGGACAGGAGCGCTGCCAATGCGGGTGGACGATTCTAAATGTGCCCCTGCATCCATTGCCTGTGAGTGTAGGAAAAAACCGTAGGAGCAGCTGCAAAAAAAAACATCCACTGTGTATGAGGCCTTAAAACACAGCTGCAATAAATTTATTTTAGTTAGGCTCAGCCCCACTCTTAGGTTGGGTTCACACTATAGAAACGCAGTCCAGATGTGTTTCCACATGTGCGTTTTTGATGGAGCCCAGTGCATTTTTTTTATGCATTCCAGTTAATTTTTCCCCCCTCTCTTTTTCTTCAATTTGAATAGGCACATGTGCATTCCAGTACATGTTTGGTGCATTCCAGTGCTTTTTTGATACATTTTACTGCGTTCCAGTACAGTTCTGTGCAGAAGAAACGCAGCATGTTCTACGTTTTTTTTTTTTTTTTTCTGCAGCTGGAATGCACTGGAACTGCAAGCACTGATATGAACTATGACATTGACAACCAATTAGCAGACTTTCTGTGCATTTTGGATGCAGAAAAAAAAGCAACTAAAATGAATGTAGTGTAAACTGGCCCTTAGTCCTTTACCTGCTTGTTTTCCATAAGCTGTGTGAACATATGTCAGAATCCTCAATACCAGGCCTGCACATGCATGCCACAAGCACCTTTCAATCATATAGAGAGTTTGTTGAGGGTTTGTTAGCGGTTTCCCTATTCGGCCTGGCTTTTGGACTTTGCAGAGGCAGGGAGAGGGTGCTTCAAGCATTGCGTCTTATACTGGCTAGGTTTCTTTATGGAAGTAACAAAATCACTTGAATCCCAATACCTTACTTGCTAATTTATCAAAGTAATCATTTTTATTACATTAAAGTGTATGTGAACGTAAAATAACAATTTCAAATAATGAAGCCATTAAGAAAATTACAGTGCCTGTAGTCCTACCTTGTAATCCTGCCAGAAGTAGCATTCCTACCTACTTGTGTTCTAGAGTGACAATGCTTACTTAGTGTACCATCATGCATGAGTGACATTGTCACTCTTCTGTGTGCACCCAATCCAGATTGCAAGCTGATAGGCCAACTATGTTTGATACACCTGTCCAATCAGCCAGTTCCAACTTAGTCCTGTTTATACATGCAGCTGGTCCTCCAAAACTGCCACTGCTAGTTTGAGTGACAGTGGCCCTGGGATCTGGCTACATCTGTCAAATGTGTACCAAGAAGGAGGTAACTGTATTAATGCTAAGTAGTGTGCAGAATGAATAATGTTGGATTACTTGGACCAGTGTTTCTCAACCTTTTTACCTTGGAGGAACCCTTGGCAAAAGGCTTGAGATCTTGGGGAACCCCTGAAAAGAATTTTCAGATCTATAGCTCATGGAACATTGGATCTGATCAGCGAGCTGTAGATATAACAAAAGTTAACTAACAAATGCGGGGCAGTGCAGGGAAGCTGTTGTTGTAACATGCCTTTTTCCTTGTTCCCCACTAACCCTCCTCTCATTCATCGCAGGTAATATTACATTTAACAGCCTGGGACAGTCAGAAGAAGAGGAACTGTGGGGAAGAGTGGAGTAAATAACATTATGCTTCCCTGCACAGCTCTGCAAATCTATAAAACAGGGTTTCGCACATGGGGTTCCAGCGCAGATCAATACTGTGGCGGATGTATTTCCACCCAATGTTATTTTTATACGCACTGATAGTTCGCACTGATACTGGATGCCTCATCTGTAGTTGTGGTTCCTGTGAACTCAGAGAGTGGCATCGAGTGGAATGCAGAGAGTGGGAACACATGGCTAGATCTGGAGGTGACATCCTGTGTATGGCAGCAGTGACTGTGGAGGGGGGAAGCAAAGAGTGGGGACACATGGCTAGATCAGGAGGCACCATCCTGTGTACATGGCAGCAGTGACTGTGGAGGAGGGGAAGTAAAGAGTGGGGACACATGGCTAGATCAGGAGGTGACATCCTGTGTATGGCAGCAGTGACAGTGGAGGGGGGAAGCAAAGAGTGGGGACACATGGCTAGATCAGGAGGTGACATCCTGTGTATGGCAGCAGTGACTGTGGAGGAGGGGAAGTAAAGAGTGGGGACACATGGCTAGATCAGGAGGTGACATCCTGTGTATGGCAGCAGTGACAGTGGAGGGGGGAAGCAAAGAGTGGGGACACATGGCTAGATCAGGAGGTGACATCCTGTGTATGGCAGCAGTGACAGTGGAGGGGGGAAGCAAAGAGTGGGGACACATGGCTAGATCAGGAGGTGACATCCTGTGTATGGCAGCAGTGACAGTGGAGGGGGGAAGCAAAGAGTGGGGACACATGGCTAGATCAGGAGGTGACATCCTGTGTATGGCAGCAGTGACAGTGGAGGGGGGAAACAAACAGTGGGGACACATGGATTAATGTAGCAGGGGATCACATCCAGTATGGCAGTGCTGAATGCAGAAGGCAGGGGCGCATGGCTGGATGAGACTGAATGTAGTAGGAGGTGAGATCATAATAGCTTTCTGTACAGTTATGGCACAACAGAGCTAATATGATCTCACCTCCAGCTACACTCAGTCTATTTCAACTGTGCGATTCCCCCTTTCTTCAGTCTGCATCACTGCTACCAAACATTGGATGTCACCTCCTGCTTTAGCCGTGTGCTCTTTCTCTCTGCTCAACCTCCAGTTCGTATTGACTGCTGCCCTACACACACAGTGCTCCGTCCCTCTGCACCCCCTTCCATACACTGTGCATGGTACTACTACACAGTCATCAAGGGATCTGACCTTGTGATCCAGTCATGGTCTCGCACCTTGTGCTCCCTACCACCATCCTATGATCAGTATTGCTATAGAAAAGAACACCTCCCCCCCTCAGCTCCCACTCTCTGCACTACTCCGGTGCCTACCTCTGCGTTCTCAAGCCGGAACTACAGAGGAGGCATTGGGTATCAATGCGCACTAAAGTACTGACAGTGCTGGAAACAACGTTGGGCGGTATACATTGGCCACAATGTTGAATTGCGGCGGAACCCCTGGGAACTTCTTGCAGAACCTTAGAATGTGCAGCTGCACTGATTTGCTTAGTAAATGTGGTGAAGCTTGGTAAAGAATACCCAATCAGGTGCAAGGAGAAAAAAAAAAAAAAATCTGCATTTTTGCTTGGACATGATTGAATGATGGAAATCCTTAGAGCTTCACTTCATTCACTAAGATACAGGAAAATGAGTGCAGCTGCACTTGCAAAGTGCACCTTTATCTTTAGTAAGTTAACCCCATGATTATTTATCTTTACTAATTCTAAGTTTATAAAAGCTGTGTTTTATTGAGGGGTTCATTTTTTTTTTTAAAGCTGAAGTTTAGTGAAAAAAAAATTATTTTTGGGAGGAAAAGGCACAAAAAGAATTCTAATGTTCTAGATGTTACTTTACAGCTGTATGTTGTTCATATATTCACCTGGTGAGGGCAGCAAAAGCACTTACAACCCATTATTTGGCTTATGAGAAGCCGTAATCAATGTGTTTGGCTTTCTAGGCATAGAATTAGGCCCCTTTTGCATCGCTGGTTTATTGTGGCCTCTGGATCTGAGTTGGTTCACTAATCCTAAAAGTTGGGAGCAAGCTTGTATTAAAAAGGATATTTTGTATCCACAGATATTGAACTTTCATTCATAAGTAACCCTCTGGGGGAATAGAGCAAGTGCTGTCAGTTCACATTCCCAGGGAAGCTCAGTTCACTGCTTCTTAGCTTTACTTATAGACAGAGTTCAGAGTCTTTCCATTTCTTCCTTCAAGCCTCCATGTCCACACTGGATCTCTACACAGGACTCAGCCCACACTCCTTCCTTCCAGTGCTCTCCTGTGATGTACATCGTTAACCCCTTCTTCACCACAAATTGTGATACTGATATAATGCAAACAAATTCAAGTGCTCTACCTAGAGTAGTATCACAGATATTGTTTATTGTATAAAGGCATCACTGAGGGAGAGTGAGAGAGTGCTGATTGCAGTGACATTGAGAGATAAAGGGGTTGATTTACTACAACTGGAGAGTGCTAAATCTGGTGAAGCTCTGCATAGAAACCAGATTTTTGTTTGTCAACGCTTAATTGAACAAGCTGAAATTAGAAGCAGATTGGCTACCATGCATAACTGTACCAGATTTTGCACTCTCCAGTTTTAGTAAATCTACCCAATAATGTAGCAATAAACAAATAAGCGACAAAGCTATTCATTATTGTTTTTCAAAGATGTTCCAACTTGTCAAACAGATCTTTTAGATCAATGGAAAATTGTGCCCTATTCCCTATTGATTCATATGTTCCAAGCAGGGTGGATTTGATTTAAATCAAACTGATTTAAATCACGATTTAAATCATGATTTAAATCACTATTCAGTAAGGCTTGATTTAAATCATAGTTTTCTACATAGACTAATTCTTGCTGGTATAACTTTAATATGCAAGTAGATGAAGATTTTTAGAATAACAACTTTTCATATTAGTTTTTTTATCCCCAGTTTAATAGGTTAATCATTCATATTTGGGACAACTTTTCTGTTGTACTTAGGAAGGAGAAAAATAATCATTACCTTAATAATAACTAGAGATGAGCGAATCGAACTTGGCGAAGTGGAATTCTCATCCTCTTCTTCATCCTCATTCTCTTCTTCATCCTCATCAAACTCTTCTTCATCATCCTCTTCTTCTTC